AGTTAGTCATAAGATTCTATTGTAGTTTAATGATGCCCCCCCAAAAAAAACAAAACCAAAAACCCACTGAATTGTAAGCTGTATTCCTCCTCATGGAATAGTTATGATTTATCTGTATTTTCTTTTTCCACTTCATGCTTATAATTTCTCTTTCTGTCCTTCTCCTCCTCTTCCTCCTCCTCCTGCTTCTTCCTCCCTCTTCTCCTCATCTTCCTCCTGCTATTTTTTTGTCAGCACATCTATCAGGTTTTCTGTGTGTTTTGTTTTATATCTTTTTTTCCTTTTCAATTTTTTTCTTTGATGTTAATTCATCCATTTCTTGGGCTTAAATCACTCTATTAATACACCATAGAGATACTGGGCTTACATCAGGGCATTGCTTTTGCTAGGCAGCCATTTCTACCCATTGTGCCTTGCCCCAGCCACTTTTTGGTTTGTTATTTTTCAGATAAAGCCTCTCATTTTTGCCTTGGATTGGCCTCAGACCACAATCATCTTACCTAAGCCTCCCTTATAGGTAGGATCACATCCTGCCATTACGTCTAGCTTGTTGTTGAGATGAGGTCTCAATAATATTTTCCCTGGGCTGACCTTGGACCTCCATCCTTCCTATCTCCACCTCCCAAATAGGATCACACCTAAGACCTTACCCTGGACTGAAATTAAGTCTTTTTGAATTATTTTTTAGTTTTTAAATTATTTTTTATTTATTAGCATATAATAGTTATGACATTTACATATGTGCTTACAATGTTTGTTAATTAGATGCACCTACTCCATTTTTCCCACTCATTCCTCTTGCCCCCTTCTTATTACAATTCAGTAAGTTTCATTGTTCTGTTTTCATACTGCATATAAAGTGCATCCACCTTACTCACCCTCCTTCACTTTCTCCCTTTTCCTCTATCCTCCCATGGTAACCACCCCATACAGGACCTGTTTACCTTCCTGTCCTTCATTTTTTTAAAGTGTAAATTAATTGTTCAGAGAGCAGGCTTTGGTATTTCAGACATGTGTATTATCCTGTTATAATTAGATTAACCCCCTCTGTTACTCTTTCTCTATTGCATGGCTCCCCTACAGTACATTGTTATATTATCTTCATACATAGATGCACTGTGTTTCACTATTATTCTTTTTTATTCTATCCTTCTCTTTTTATCTCCCACCTCCCTGTAGTCCTCTCAAACAGAAACCTCAGAGTATTCTCTCCCTTTCTCTCTTCTTCCTTCTTCTTTCTCTCATTCTTTCTCTTTCTCTCTCTCTCTCTCCTCTCTCTTTCTCTCTCTCTTGTTGTTTCTCTCAACTTTCTTTGTCTCTTGATTTAGTAAGATCACTTATGGATTTATGTATACATTTATTTTAAAAGTCCAGCTTTGTCTTTCTCATCCTGGCTTGCTTTACTAACATGATGATCTCCAGTTCCATCTGTTCATCTGCAAACATAATTTCATTCTTCTCTTCCTGAAGAGTACACCATTGTGTATATATACAGTACATTTTTATTCTTTTTTTTTTTTTTGGTTTGAGTTATAGGAAGGAACCCTTATCCACTATTGTGAGGAATGTGTATCAGTGCAACCGGCATGGAAAAAAGTATGGAGTTTCCTTAAAAATCTAAAAATAGGCAGGTGACAGTGGCTCATCCCTGTCATCCTAAGTACTTGAGGGCAGAGAACAGATAGATCACAGTTCCAAGTAAGCACTGGCAAAACAAAACAAAGCCATATCCCATCACAAAAAATAAGGTTTGTCACAGTGCCCCCGCCCCCATATACCAGAAGGAATGTGAGCCACTTGTACACCCATATTTATTGCCACCCTGTTCACAATAGATAACTGTGGAAACAGCCAAAATGCCCTACAGCTGATGAATGGACTAAGAAAATGTGTAGGGCTGGCAGAATGACTCACAGTGGTAGAGTGTCTGTGTAGAAAAAGTGAGGCCCTGAGTTCAAACCCCAGTACATAAATAAATAAATAAAGGAAATGTGTGTAGGGCCAGGGCTGGGCATGAAGTTCATGCCTGTATTCCTACTTACTTGGGAAGCTGAGATCGAGATTAGGATTTGAAGCCATCAGGGGCAAATAAATATCACCTGAGCCACACCTGCAGCCCATTTTGCTCTGATTACTTTTCAGAACTATCTGAACTTGGAGTCTCACACTTGCCTAGAAGTAGTGCTGGATAAAGTGGTAGAACTTTTTAGAGTCTTTTGAACCAATCTGCCAGCATTTTCTTATGTTGGGTATTTTTGTGAAAGGCTGTCTTTTTTTTTTTTTTTTTTTATCTAATCCTCCATGATCTGTGCCTCCCAAAATGCTTGGGGTACAAGCATGAGCTGCCACCCTCCAACCTAGTTTTAGGTTTTTAAGGGGCCTCTATATTGATTTCTACAGCAGTTGCACTGATTTACATTCCCATAAACAGTGGATTAGGGTCTCTCCCTCCTTTGCCCTTTGCCCCCATCCTTCTCAGCATTTGTTGTTGCTTCTGTTATTGATGAGAGCCATTCTGACAGGAGTGAGGGGGAATCCCAATGTCATTTTGATTTGCACTTCATTTATGGCCAAGAAGTGGAGCATTTCTTCATGTGTTTATTGGTCATATACGCTTCTTCTTTTGACAATTGTCTGCTCATTTCATTTTCCCATTTACTTGTGGGTTGTTGATTCTTTTCAGGCTTAGGTTTTTGAGCTCCCTGAATGTCCTGGTTATTAATCCAGTGTCAGACATATAGCTAGCAAAGATTTTTCTCTCATTCCATGAGCTGTTTCTTCAGTCTAGTAAATATTTGCTTTGTTCTGCAAAAGTTTTTAGTATGATACAGTCTAATTTGTCAATCCTTTCTCTTAATTGGTAAACTATTTGATTTCTATTCTACTGTCTACATGTTCCAGTGTATTCCCTATGTTTTTCCTGTAGTAGTTTTAATAGATTCAGATCTTACATGAAGGTCCTTGTTCCAATTTGAATAGATGTTAGTAAAATGTGAGAGACTGGGATCTAGTTTCAGTCTTCAACAACTGGATATCCCATTTTCCCAGCACCATTTCTGAAGAGGCTAACTTTTCTCCAACACATGTTTTGCACTCTTTGTGGAAAATGAAATGCCTGTAGTTGCATAAACTTATGTCTGATTCTTCAAATCTGTTCCATTAGCCTCATATCTCTTTTTGTGCTAATACCATGCTGTTTTTATTGCTATAACTCTGTAGTATATTTTGAAGTCAGGCATTATGATTCCTCCAGCATTGCCTTTTTTTGCTCAGGATTGCTTTGGTTATTCAAGTTCTTTCACGTTTCCATGTGAACTCTAGGGCTTCTTTTTCACTCTGTGAAGTATGTCATTGGAATTTTGATGGGGATGGAACTGAACATCTGATCGCTCTTGTAGTGTAGCCACAGTACTGATTCTGCTGACCCCAAGCGTGAAGCATTTTAATGCATTCACTGATTTTTTTTTTCTTCAGCGATTTATAGTTTTCATTGTGTGGGTCATTCACTTCCTTTGTTACAATTATTTCTATGTATTTACTTTTAGGGTTAGTGTTAGAATTTTTTTTTAATCTCCTGAGAATGTTATTATTTTCCTGATTTCCTTCTCATTGTTTGTTTATGGAAATTCTAATGATTTTGTATGCTGTAGCGGGGCTGAATTTGTTTATGAGACCTAGGAGTTTTTTGGTGGAACTTTCAGGGTCTTTCCGGTATAAGATCATATCATCCTCAAATAGGAATAATTTGTATTCTTCGTTCCCTGTTTGAATCCCTTTTATTTCTTTCTCCTGTCTTACAACTCTTGCTAGGAATTCCAGTACTATATTGAATAAGAGTGGGGAGAGTGGACACCCTCTCTGTTTCCTGACTTTAGAGGAAATGGTTTCAGATTTTCTTGTTTAGTTTGATGTTGGTTATAGGTTGGTCATAACCTTTAAAATGTTGAGGAATGTTCATTATATTCCTAGTTTCTCCAAGCTCTTATAGTGAAAACATTCAAGGCTTTTCTGTATCTACTGAGATGATACTGTAACTTTTGTCTTTAATTCTGTTTTTCGTTTCTTTTTTTATTTTATTTTGGTGGTAATGGAGTTTGAATTCAGAGCCTCATGCTTGCTAGGCAGGAAATCTACTGCTTGAGCCACTCTGCCAGACCTGTCCTGACTTCCGTTTCTGTGTGGTTGTTATAGTTATTGATTTGCCTATGTTGTGCCACCCTGTGTGCGTGGTATAAAACCTACTTGATTGTGGTGCATGATCTTCCTATTTATTGGGTTGTTGGCTTCTGTTCGCAAGTATTTTTTGAGGATTTTTGTAGCTATGTTCTTCAGGGATATTAACCTAAACTGTGTGAGGGTTTCTTCTGGTTCATTTTTACATGGCTTTGGTATTAACATAATAGTGGCCCTTGCTTCCTTTTGTTGAACTGAATAGTTAGAGGAACATTGGTGTTGGATCTTCTTTAAAGATCTGGTAGAATTTAGCAGTGATTCCATCTGGATCTAGGCTTCTTTTTCTTGGACTATTCTTTATAACTGTGCCATTCTCATTTCTTAAGCCTTGATATTAACATTTGCATACCAATCTTGTTTAAAGTATAGGTACTGGAGTGTTCCATTGCCTTCCATTTGCTTTCTAATACTCAGTGTTCTTGATTGCTGTTTTTTTTTTTTTTTAGGCTGACTACATTCTTGAAGAGATATTCTGGTTCAGGTGGGAGTCAGGAGCTACTCTTGCATGCAAACTTGAGAAATAGGGGAGGTCTCAAAGACAGAGAAAGACCTATAAAAGAAACTCAGTGAGCTGCACTCATTGAACTGGGAGATACGCATTTTACTTTGGGAAAAAAAGACTAACCAGTGTGGTATAACTCTGGTATATCAGCAAGCCTCAGAAAGATACTATTTCATTTGTTTAAAAATTCAAGGCAGCTTGAGATATTAGTCAAAGCATTATAAAAAGAAGGAGGAGAGAGACTACTCCTGAGGTTCTCAAGAACATGGAAGTGCTAAGAACTTGTGAATTTTCTGCTGAGTACATTGTGACACCCATGTCCCCTGACCAGTCTGGCACCAAGAACCCAACTTGTACAATCATGACTTTCCAGCCAACCATGGAGGAATTTTCAGATTTCAACAAATACATTGCTTACATGGAGTCTCAAGGTGCCCACCGAGCTGGACTAGCCAAAGTCATTCCACCCAAGGAATGGACAGCCAGACAATCCTATGACAATGTCAGTGGCATCTTAATAGCCACCCCCCTGCAGCAGGTGGTGTCTGGAGGGGCAGGTGTGTTCACTCAATACCATAAAAAGAAGAAAGCCATGACAGTAGGGCAGTACCGCCACCTGGCAAACAGTGAAAAGCATCGCACCCCAGCACACCTGAATTATGAAGATTTGGAGAGAAAGTACTGGAAGAGCCGCCTCTATGGTTCACCTCCCATTTATGGTGCTGATGTCAATGGGTCTTTATTTGATGAAAGCACTAAAGAGTGGAATCTTGGCCACCTGGGGACCATTCAGGATCTGCTGGAGCAGGAATGTGGCATTGTCATCGAGGGGGTCAACAGACCCTACCTCTACTTTGGCATGTGGAGGACCACCTTCGCGTGGCACACGGAGGACATGGACCTGTACAGCATCAACTTCGTGCACTTTGGGGAGCCCAAGACCTGGTACGCGGTGCCCCCCGAGCACGGGCAGCGCCTGGAGCGCCTGGCCAGGGAGCTGTTCCCGGGCAGCGCCCAGGGCTGCGAGGCCTTCCTGCGGCACAAGGTGGCCCTCATCTCTCCCACGGTGCTCAGGGAGAATGGCGTCCCCTTCAGCCGCGCGACGCAGGAGGCCGGAGAGTTCGTGGTGACTTTTCCCTATGGCTACCACGCTGGCTTCAACCATGGCTTCAACTGCGCCGAGGCCATCAACTTTGCCACCCCACGCTGGATCGATTATGGCAAAGTGGCCTCTCAGTGCAGCTGCGGGGAGGCCAGGGTCAGCTTCTCCATGGACGCGTTCGTGCGCCTCCTGCAGCCTGAGCGCTATGAGCTGTGGAGACACGGGCTGGACCAGGTTAGGCGGGAGCTGAGCCCCAGGGTGGGGCTCCTGGAGTTTGGGATGTTCCAGTTGGGCAGAAGGACTGTCCCTAGTCCTAAGGCTGAACTCCTCAGCTGCCCCTCCAGGTCCTCTCGCACTGCGGGGTGTCACCTGGCTGCAGGCACCCGTGGCTGCCCCAAATCTGGTGGGAAGCCCTTGCTGACCGCTGGTGTGTGCACCCCTGAGGACCACTCTGCAGCTGGCAGGCATGGCCGTGGCCGTGGGCGTGGCCATGGCCGTGGCCGTGGGCGTGGTCGTCATCCCCGTGAATGGGGGGCGGCTGAGCCCACTGTCCTGCCGCAGACCAAAAGGCTCCGAGTGGTGCAGGCAGAGTGCGCAGTGCAGGGTCTGGGTGCTCTTAGCCTTCCTAGGGATGAAGACTCACCTGAGAGCCTCCTGCCCCTCTTTCCCGCCAAGGCTTCTGGATGTTGCTGTGCTCCTGATCTTCAACCTTTGGGGCCTCCACTGGACCCTGACAATCCCATGCACCCTGGACCATGCTTGCTGTCTCTGGACAGCTTTGTGACTGATCTCCCTTTATTTCTTCCACCAACCTCTCACAAAGGCATTGTGCCTTGGAGCAGGTTCTCCAGGGACAGTGCTGGGATTGGTATGACCCCCATGAACCTGGCTGAGGTTGTAAGGATGGACCACTCCTATGCCAAATGGTGAATCTGTGGGGCTAAGGTGTCCTGGAACTGCTGTTTTGATTTCTGAGACACATTGGCCAACACAGGATGTTCTTTATTCTCAGAATTCATGGATATTAAATATGTCAGTTAAATTACTGTGCCTCTGATCCCTAACCTTAGTCATAAGTTTGACCGTGGTGTTCCCCCTTAGCTTAACTTAGTAAGAGGATAGATATGTTATGTGACTATGGTTTGTATGAATGGGCTCTTTGGGATGTGATTAGCTCTGAGTAGGTCGTTAACCCCTTGATTGAACTCTAGGGGCATTATAAAGAGAGTGAGAGAAACCACAAAGAAATACGCAGGCAATCCCCCTGTGACATCATGCTACAGGTGTCCATCCTCACAGGATTCTGCACTATGTGACTCAAACTTCTAGCCTTAAAAACCATGAGCCAAAAGAACCTCTTTTCCTGATACTTTCTTACACTATGAAAATCAGGACTCCTAGTGACCACTGAAGTGACCTTCCTTCCCTCCCCACCTAGGGTGCCATAAGTGGTTGTGGTGCCTCTCAGGGACTCTCAGCCCACTCCTGAACATGGATGTGCCTATGGCCTTACCATGGTCTAGGTGCCCACGGTACCTTATTTCCTCCGTCGCCCTCATGTCCCTCCCCTGTGGTCTAAAGGTTAGGTTCCACCATCATGTGCCCAGCATTGGGTGATGCTGAGAATCTGAGTGAGCTTCTTAATTCATCCCTACAATGTGTCTGGACTTGCAAGTCCCTGACCATGGCTTCTCCTGGACAATGCTTCAGTCCCACTGAGGCACTGCTTACTGAAGTCCTCCAACTTTGACATGTTCTACCTCCCAAGACACTCTAACTCTGTTCATGCAGAAAGCAGACTTTTGACCAATGGAGTCTGCCAGTTTTCACTTTAAATGTTTTGTAATTTTGTGAATAATTTGGTATTCTACAAAGAAAAATTCTTAATATATATTCAAATGAGAATTAGATTAAAAGGATGCGCCTAAAATAAAGTGGTAGTGAAAGGTCTAAGGTTCAAGAGTAGACAGGACAATACCAAGGGAAACACAGAGAAAAACAGAAAAGACAGACAAATACTAAATCACACAAACTACAACTGAGAGCACAGTTACAGAGTGAGTGTCTGTGAGGTCACAGGTAACTTCTACAGTGTAAGCACAGCAGTCAGAACATGCACGCAAGCTGGATAAAAAATGAAATATACTACACAAAAGGCAAGTTGAGAGAAAATTTCAATGAATTTGAGTTGCCTCCTATAGTAGAAGTCACAAAATGACAAACATTGGATTGGGGTAACTTAGCACTAACAATACAGTAGAATTGTGTACCCAGTGGTGGAAAATGCCAGCTCTTTTCAAATGCTGCTGGTTCCATTACAAAACTCGACAACATATTAGTGTAAAAAAAATCATAAATATATTCTTAAAACTAAGGAAGAAAAAATCAAGCATTCTGACTTCTGAGACAATAAGACTAGAAATACAATTGAAATCAGAAAATATAGAAGTTCTTTTACATATATAAATATATGTAAATATATATATATATATATATATATATATATATATGGTGGTAGTGCAGTTTAAACCTAGGACTTGGAGCTTAGAAATACTTTTCTGGAGAGTTAAAAAGTGTCTGTTGGATAAGACTTTAGATTAGAAGGAAACAAAGTCAAAAGAAATAAATTCTCAGAAAACAGAATTCCAAATAAGTTTTAGCAATATGAACGGAGTTGAACTTAACTTTCCCCATCAGCTTATGTGGTTTTGAAAGTAATTTAACTGGATCCCCATCTGCAACCCTTCTCTAGGTGTTCATTGTGTGGCCAAGCCCCATTCCCTGAGATAATAAAGGTAATCACACCAGCTGACATGGCAATCATTCTTTGCAAGGCTCTTCAGGGATGGGAGGAGCTAGCAAAGACCACATGACAATTTCAGCCATTGTTGAAAAAGTCTTTGAACACTGATAGTCACAGGAACAAGAAGCACCTTGCTCTTAACTCCCCAGGACCCTCTCAGTACTGCCCCTGGGTTTATTAGGACAGTATTATTCTGAGATGAATAGTACCAACTCAGACCAGTCCACCCTTACACACAGTGCTTGAGGTAATGTAAAATCATGAACCCCCCCTTGAAAAACTGTATATATATATATATAAAAGCACACATTTATCCTTAGGAATTATGTTCCTAGATACTTACCCAAATTATTATCATAATCAGGAACTGTGAACAATTCAGAGCTTTGGGACAAATGGGTGGAAAGTAATGAAGTAATGAAATACATGCTACAAGATAAATAAATCTTAGGAAATTCAGGTTAGACAAAGAAAAACAAACAAACAAAATCTCAAATCTTCATGACAACACACTGCCTGGTTGCTTTCATACTCCTTCCAAGAGTAGGCCAAACCAAGCTGTGGTCATAGACGCGAGGAAGTGTTTGTCTCTATTGGAGGTGGGAAGGTCCCCAGGCCTGAGACCTGTTGTGTGGTGGTCACCTTACTTCTCAACTGTGTGAAGATCACAGTGTATTCATGGTTAACGCTCTTTGAACACCCAGGCTGAGGAGATGGAAGCTGGCTGGGCCTGGAGGTGCACACCTGAAATCCTAGTACTGGAAAGGCTGAGACAGGGGGAGCAGGTGTCTGAGGTCAGTGTGCCCTCAGGCAGCTATGTAGCCAGACCATGTCTCAAAAGTCAAAAACAGCTGGGCGCTGGTGGCTTATGCTTATAATCGAGTTAGGCAGGAGGCAGAGATCAGGAGGATTGAGGTTTGAAGCCAGCTGGGCAAATAACGTGAGAGAACCTATCTCAAAATACCCCAACACAAATAAGGGTTGGTCGAGTGCCACAGGGTGTAGGCCTTGAGTTCAAACTCCAGCACCACAACAAAAAAATTCCAAAACAAAAACAAAAACACAAAACAACCAGAAAACTCTTTCCTTAGCATTCTGTTTTTCTTTTCTTTCTCTCTGCTTTTTTTTTTTTTTTCTTTTTCTTTTGTCAGTACTGGGGATCAAAGCCAGGGCTTGCACATGAAAACTTGGATCCTCTGTTTTGCCCTAGATTGTATCTTGTCTTTTAGCCTTTTAAATGTTGTAAATAGGTTGAAAAATATAAGAAATTTCCACGGCCTTTCCCCAAATACATGGATTATTATTTTTTTTTTGGTTGTTGTTTTGTTTTTGTTTTTGTGGTAAGGGGATTGAACTCAGGATCTCTGGCTTTGCTAGGCAGGCACATTGCCAGCTGAGCCACCCAAGGTCTTTTTTCATTTCCTTTTTTTAGATACACTATCACCGCAGCCCAGAATGGCCTGGAACTCACCATGTAGCTCATGCTGGTCCTGACTCAACTTCCTGGGTGCTGGGATTACAGGGATGAGCCACCACAGAAGGCCTGTTTGTGTCTCTGCTTTCTTCTTTAAGACTTTTTTGCACTTTGCATTCATAAGGACATTCTTTAGTACATTTCTTAATAGTTTTATGAGTTCTCTTTTGTGCAGTCTTTAATGAATTCTTCATTTTTGTAGCTGGTATGACTTCCACATCTACATCCTTTATTTAAAAAAAAAATTCCAAACCAGTAAGACTTATTAAATAATACCATTCTGTGTCTGACAGCTGTGGTTAACCCACCAAAAGCTTATATACTGAAAGTGTGGTCCTTTCTGAGGTGGGGTTGAGGGGGTGGAAACTTAAAGAAGTGGGGATTAGTGGAGGTGAGCAGGTCATTACCCCACTCCCATGAATTGACTAAACCTGTTTCTTGGGAGTGGTTCAGGTCTGCTGGGAGAGGAGAAGTCCACTGGAAAGTGGTTCTCTAGTCACCTGTTTTGCTATGTGATCCCTCTCCCTATATTCAATAGACTATGCCTGGCCACTGTGATGCCATCTACCATGAGTGCCTTCCTAGACCCACGCTCCATGAACTGTGAGCTAAATAACTTCTTTATATGAAGTACCCAGCCTCAGGAAGTCTGTTGTAGGAACACAAACAGACAAAGACATGGGGCCTCTCTATTCCATAAATACACGTGGGTGTGTTCATGAGAGCTCAAATAGCACAGAGTGATAAATGCTGAAGTCCCCTGTCTCTGCTCTTTGTTTAAAGGAATTATTTTAAAGCATCTTTTCTTTTCTTTTTTTTTTTTTTTTTGAGGTACAGGAGTTTGCACTCAAAGCCTACATCTTGAGCCACTCCTCCAACCCTTTTTTTTTGTGTGTGTGATAGGTTTTTCAAGATAGGTCTCATCTTGCTAATTATTTGCCAAGGTGGCTTTGATCCTTGATCCTCACGATGTCTGCCTCCTGAGTAGCTAGGATTATAGGCAGGAGCCACTGGCACCCAGCAATGTTGGAGAGTGTTGTCCTTGACCCTAAAACTTGCTGTCTCTATCACCCTGAGTAGGTTGGTTAAGGACTCCATGATTCAGTTTCTTCAACTGAAAAATAGAAGCAGCAAGAGTTCCTCTGTGGATTTTGATACCCTGGGGAGTGAGGGTAAGGTTCTGGAACCAATCCTCTCCCACTGAATACTGAGGGGAGGCTATGTAAAGACAGAGTAACCAGTGTAAGAGTGGGTAAAATTATTAATAGTCTCCTCATGAGTAAACATATATAAATGACCAGTACATTTAAGAACCTGTGACTCATTAGTAATCAGGGAAACACCAACCTCAATGGGGTTGCCACTCCGCCCTCACATGACCACTGAAACTAACAAGGCTGACACTGGACCAAGCTCTGCAAATGTGAGGGCAATGTGACCCTCGCCCAGCTAGTGCATGTGCAAATGGTATAAAGTGTGTAGGAATTCTGGGTGAGAGTTTGCCTTCATCTGCTCTGTGGCCAGGAGACCCATCTGAGATGCAAGTACTCTTGACCTCCTGTACACACGTGCAAGAATGTTCAGAGCAGCACTGTTTGTAAGCAGCCAAAGTGGAAGCAAGCTAGGCACCCATCAGTGGAAGAAACAGTCACA